AAATTTAAATAAATATAAGCATAAATAAATGAAAGGCTTCTTCAACGGGTGGGTTCCCTTTGAATAATAGCTTACCCATTTTAAAGTGTTCAATTAAATATGATTATGAAAAAAACCATATTTATTATTTATTTGCAAAGAGAAATGATGTGGTTGTTGATGAATATGCATTTAATGGGAAATTAACAAATATTTCTTTCTGAAAAAAGGCCGACTGAAATTAAATAAATTAGTAAATGACGCTAAAGGACACTATTTAAATGTGAGCCATTAAAATGAGCTATATATAACGGGTGGTCTTTAAGTTAATGCTCATTATAATCCTTTTTTTTATGGAATTTATAACTAATTTCTGGAAAAAAAAATGCTTAAGAAATTTATTGCCAATCATTATTTGATAAAAGCGTAAAGTTGATAACTCATTAACTACATTTGCTGATATAAAATACTCTTGTGATACCATTCTAACAAAAGATAACTATCATTTTACTATTCTACAAATCAGTTATCTTGAAGATATACCTGTATTGATTGTGTTTTCGAGAAATTTCTTATTCGAAAATTTGATGTATTAATCGATAAAGAGGAATGTTGGGACAAATATCTCAGAAACTTTAATCACATCAGAAAAAAAACTCCTAGCAAATCCCAATGTCCCAGATATTTTAGTTAGACGGAACGGATGATTATGCGCATAAGAACAGTCTAAATGACAAAGGCACTGGGTAATTTTAAATCAGCTAAAAATTTACGAAATGATCTTATGAACAAAAAGGAGCTAAAGTAATCAATGCGAACACATCCCACTAAAATCGAAGCCAATTTAAAGAAGTTCGAACGCCTTATGTGACCATTAATAGTACTCATAGTGACCATTTCCGCTCCTTTGTAATAAATTTTCTGAAGAAAAATGCAAAAGTGATGAAAAGCATAGACTTAACATTTTGGCTTAACTCTCTATCTGTACGATTCAAATTCACGATAATTAGCGCATTAGTTTGGGAATTGATTATTTTTTTCAGCCAAAATATCACACTTATACATTTCTTTCTTCTTATTGACATTTAATTTTGCTGGAATTGCTTCTACAACCAAATGCGCCTCGTTACATTTCGGATGTCACATCACGATAAATATTAAGCAGAAAACGATAGCAGACATTTGCGCCAACAAAATATGCAATTCAGATGGTGAAACAAAGAAAAAGAGAAAGGTAAAGAGAAAAGTTGGAAATTCTGCATATTAAATTATAGTTTTTCTAGAGAATTTGAATTTATGCAAGTGCTACTGTAAGGACACTTTATCAATTAAATTTATTTCGTAGTATGTTAAGCTAATTTCATTTCATTTTTTGCTGTAAATATTATTTAGAATATGTCATCAGGACATACAAGGATGACCCAAAGGACATTTATTACCAATGAGATCAGTGATTCGATCGATCAATTAATTAGTATAAAGTGGTAGATATTTGTGCTAAAACGATAAGTTTGTGTTGGCTTGAAATGGTTGAAAGGCAGTATCATATCTGCAATCAAACATCAATGATGAAATCAAAAGTAGGAAGAATAGAAGGAAGAATCTATGAACAAATAATTGTATTCAAAAATTAACGCTTCTGAAGTTCGAAACAGTTCTAATTCATTTTAAGTAAGGTTCAGAGTTCGATTACAACAAAGGATATACCTTATTTTTGGTAAAATGTTGTACTAAGTTTTTCCGCTTAAAATACCTAGCTTTAACTCATATTTACGCTGAAATTGAAGCATACGTTGTTAATTAAATGAACTTTGGAGTAAACAAAAATCTGTTCATTGGGATAAAGTAATTAAATCTGAATCAAGTTGATAGTTCAAATGGTTCATTCTTAATTTTTACCAGAGTTTTACCAGTAAACCAGTGATGAAGTCATTCGTTTAAAACTGAATAATAATAATAATAATAATAATAATAATAATAATAATAATAATAATAATAATAATAATAATAATAATAATAATAATAATAATAATAATAATAATAATAATAATAATAATAATAATAATAATAATAATAATAATAATAATAATAATAATAATAATAATAATAATAATAATAATAATAATAATAATAATAATAATAATAATAATAATAATAATAATAATAATAAT